ACAACAAAGTGTATAGATGAAATCAAATTTGTTAACTGCATTTTCTTCCCGGTTTTGAGTATTCTAATAATTCTAGCCAGTGATTGTGGTACCTCTGTTCTCTGAGTAAAGAAAATCCTGCAGAACATAGTCACAGAATGGTTTGGATTGGAAGGGACCTTAAAGCTCATCCAGTCCAACCCTCCTGCCATGGGCAGGGACACCTCCCACCAGACCAGGTTGCTCAAAGCCCTGTCCAACCTGGCCTTGAACACTTCCAAGGAGGGGGCATCCACAACTTCCCTGGGTAACCTGTGCCAGTGTCTCACCACCCTCACAGTACAGTATTTCTTCCTAATATGTAGTCTAAATCTCCCCTCTTCCAGGTTAAAATCATTCCCACTCTTTCTGTCGCTACCTGCCTTTGTAAAAAGTCCCTTCCCAGCTTTCCTGTAGGACCCCTTCAGGAACTGGAAGGCCACAGTTAGGTCCCCCTGGAGCCTTCTGTTCTCTAGGCTGAACAGTCCCAACAAAAAACATGGGTTTGTGTAATAAATGCATCTGTAGTGTAATTTCTGAAGCAGAAATAAAAACAACAGGTAATATTATTTGAAGGTTGCGTGCTAGGAACATCTGATTTATAATTCAAAACTAACAACTCACCACTCAATCCTTTCTTATTCAGCCTCTTCTTGGGGCTTTGTTGTCAGAAAATATTCCTAGGATTCCACTTGCATCATATCTTTAATCATACCAGCATGTGGGACAGCTTTTTCTCCTTATAAGATTAAGTTAGTTTCAAACATAATGATCTTGAATTGGCAGTGGCTGCCTTCCTATTCCAACTGTTTCAGTTTTCAACCATTATTTTTCAGCTTTGTTTATTCAAAACATATTCCTGCTATTAAAATAAACCCCAAAACAAAACAAAGCAAACAAAAAATCAGCACAAAGACATGGTTTGTTCTTTTTAGACTCCAGTTTTGAAATACTGTAGTTTTCCATCCTCAGGTAGCTGTTGTATTCCCATTGTATTTCTGTCCATAAAACACAAAGCACATTTGCATGAAATGTCACTTATGATCACGTCTGTAGTCTGAGTTGTTATTGCTTGATCATGGGAGAAAGCAGGACTTTGGAAATAAAAGTAAATAGTTCCAATTCAGCTGAAATTGCGAGTGCTTATGTAAAAACTGTTTGCTTACGTTTTTGTGTTCCTAATTCTTGTTTTTTTTTGTTTAATTTTTTTGTTAATTTGTGGAACTTTGTTCTGATGCATCTTGTAGCTTATAGAAGGTATTCTAGTAGATACCCTTATGTGTTGAATTGTTGTGGTTTCACTGGTGGGAGATGGGATTTGCTGCTTCCTGTATCCATTTAAAAATGGTTGTGAAAGCTGACCTGAACAAATTGGCATTGTCACCCAACGACATACATAGCTGCAGCGGTGGGAGGACAAAGATGTTGATATCCTTGCACTTGAATGATGTGATAGTACAGGTTTTATTTCTGAGGTGTTCTGGTCTTCCATCCCAGCCATACACTTCATCTTTTGCTTTGAGCAGATCAGACATGAGGCAGCTGTGATCTGAAAGGTAGGTCACCCCAAATTCATATGGTGCTCTGTCTAACTTAATGTACTCTTGACTCACAGCGTGACAGTAGGGTCAGTTGAGGACAAGTATTATTGATTTAATTAATGAAAAAGCTGTCCTATGGAAGGATGGATTTCGCTTTTTGTGTGAACTGTTTCCTTTAAATCTTCTTTCCTGCTTCGGTATGTGAGGAAAAGTGTTTCCTCTATGTGCTTCTCTTCATCCTTTTTTTTTTTTTCTTTTTTTTTCTTCCCTCCCCCTCCATCAAATTTATAGCACATTGAATCTTTTGCTACAGGACTGTGGCAGTTGCTACAAGGATTAGGGAGAGCTCTCCTCTTCTCACTGAAATACAAGTGCTTTCCAGAAGTGTAGCTTGGTTCCTTAGAAGTGCTGGAGATGGGCAACAACTCGAGGCACAATAGTGACCGAAGTGCAAATGTGTCTGTAGCAGGAATCTTACACCCTACTCCCTGGTGTCTCTTGCTTTGCTTGTGTGCTGTCATCTCCTAGTTTTGCAATCCATTGTGGTTTTGCTTGGTGTATGTGTCTTCCTATGTAGCATGATCAGATTAGAACAAATCTGGTGTTACAAAGATCTGAGCAAAACTTAATGTGTCCCCTGCCTTCTCTTTTGGATTCCTGTGGCTCCCTGCAGTTGCATCTTTTGAATCAGAGTTCAAAAGGTGATGGATATGTTTTGCAGTTTCAGTCCATAAAGATCCACATCAGTTATGTATTTGGGGTGATTATGAGTGGATTAGCCTTGATGATCTAAGCAGCTTTTGCCATCAGTGTAAGTAGTCATTTCAGTATTACAGCCTGAAGATCATTTGCATTAAGAGCAAAACCAAGAGTATAATATTCCTTTTTACAACAATTGGAAAGATTCTTGGTCTTAAAAGAGGTAAACAAGCTCAATAGCCTTACAATGACCTAATATTATCTCAATGATGTGTTTACAGTAGAGCTTTTTATTTTTTCTCTCTCTTAGCATAGCTGTGAAATTGTTGCCACTTCCTGAGCAGAGGAGGAACGGGAGAAAAACTGACTGAGATTCTTCTTTTTTTTTTCCTGATATGTATTGCTGAATTAAGTCTTTAAAAGAGATTTGAAAGAAAAAATAAACAGCAACTTTCCGGGGGGGGGGGCGGGCAGGGAATATCAAATTTAAGATTATTTTAGGAATCAGCACCTAATTTAGGCCTGCACCTGGGCCACATTGGTCGAGGCCAGGGCAAGAGATTGGGAGGCCATGTGCAGCACCATTCTTAAATAAATTAATTTGCAGGGGCATTGATTGGCTTGGCCTTGGTCAGAGGTGGGTCTGCCATTAAAGCTGGGGGAGCTTCTAGGAGCTTCTTACAGGGCTCCTTAACCCTCCCCCACTACTAAAACCAAACCAAAACCCCAGCTCCTCACAGGAAACCCAATACAGGATATTTTGATTGGATGTAATGTGGCAGATTTATTTATTTTTTAAAAGGATTTCACTTTTGCCCAATGTATTGAAGACAATAGTGGACCAAAAAAAGTTTTTATCTGTCTTAGCATTCTTTTAAGTTATTGTTGTAAATACTCCAGTCTAGTTCTGTCTCAAGGTGAAAAATTCTGTTCTGTCCAGGAAACTTATTAAAAATGTTATCTTTTCATCTTGAGAAACCATTTCTCTAGGAAGAGTTCTGGTGTATTTGTTTGAAAATACTTGCAAGATTGTCTGTGTGTACCTTGTGAACAGTCCTGTGGACTGTGCGCTGCAAGAAGAGTGCTGATGTTGGTTTCTACTCTTCTTAACAGAGGGAGGGGAAACCTAGCAAAAGAGTACCATTTACCCTCACAGTTTGCCAAAGGGACCTGCCTTTCTCAGTGAACTATACAGTAGATTTAGACAATTATGTTAAACATGTTTTCTCATCTTGCTCTGACTTTCCCTGTCTCCGTGTTCACATTCTACTATATCACCTAAAATGAGATACCAGGGTAAATCATAAGCAGTGGATTGGTTTCCAGCTGATACAATTGTATTGTAGAAGCATTGCTCTGCTTGCCTAGCTCTTTTCTGAGGTTTTATTATTCTCTTACCGATCTCCTAAGCAGCCTTGAAAGAACTACTGATCTCAGTTATAAAACCAATGAGTTTGCAATGTTTAGAGAGCTTCAGAAAAATATCATATGGAGAGGAAAAAGCTGATGCCCTGTAGCATTTAATACAACTTGGTGAGCAGGCTGTCAGCTAAGACTTGAGAAGAAAAAAAAAAAAGGAAAGAAAGAAAGACATAAAAGAATTTAGAGTGACCAGCAAGCCACAGAAAAATTAAAGCATGCCTCAAGGTTGGTGCATGTTTTACCCTGCTGCGCACTCTAGTTAGTGTCCGTAACTTTAGCTTCTAATTTAGCAGAATCATTCTGTAATAAGAACGAAGTGTATTTGTCCAGTACATGCAACATTTTTTGAGACCAGAGTAGTTAAATCAGCTGTTTCTTTTAGAAAGTATTTCAATTAGAATTGGCATCCTCAGGTTTTTTTGGTTGCTCTTTTGGCGGCACTCCTTCCTCAGTGGGTGCTACACAGAGGTGTATTTGGTTTGTGTGGCAGGGTTTTGACATCATGGGAGGAGCTACAGGAATGGCTCCTGTGAGAAGCTACTAGAAGCTTACCTGGCTCCTAGCCAGACCTACCTCTGGCCAAGGCTGACCAGTCAGCACCGATGGGAGCGCTTCTGCAATTGTATATTTAAGAGTAGTGCAGTGTGTGGAGGGGGTTGCTGTGCCCACAGGCAGGGCTTGCCCGGCCCAGCCCCAACCCAAGAGCTGGGAGGTCTTCAGAAGCCAGCAGAAAGAACCTGCAGCAGAGAGAGGAGTAGGATGTACGAAAAACAACTACGCAGACACCAAGTTCCGTGAAAAAAGGAAGGAGAGGAGGTGCACTGGAGCAGAGATCCACCTGCAGCCCATGGAAGAGCCCACATGGGAGCAGATGGCTGCACCCAAAGAAGGCTGTCACTCCATGGGAAGCCCTTACTGGAGCAGTCTATTCCTGAAGGACTGCACCCCATAGAAAGGACCCACACTGGAGCAGTTTGTGAAGAACTGCAGCCTACAGAAAGGACTCGGTTGAAGTTAGTAGAGTAGTGTCTCCTGTGGGAGGGTACCCACATCAGACCAGGGGAAGTGTGTGAGGAGTTCTCTCCCCGAGGAGGAAGGAGTGGTAGAAATATAGAATAGTCTAAAACATTCCAAAAGTATAAATTTTGACATTGTAGCAAATATCCCTTACAGAAAATTTGAAATTCTCTTATACTTTAAACTTACTAGAAATGGGAAAAAAAAATATTTATTCTGAACACAGGGATCAATTATAAAATGATACATGTTTTGCACAAATTTGCAGGGCTTTTTTAAGTTTGTTTTTAATTATTTTAACAGGTGGATCCAAAAGAGCTGATTCAGATGGTCACAAAGCATGTTACTCAGTATGGCTCTACAGACTGGCCCGAAGAAATTGCAGCTTTGATAAAGCAGCTGCATTACTACAATGAACGTCTGCTGGATTTCACTCAGGCTCAGATTCTGCAAGGACTTGGCAAAGGGGTGGATGTGCAGAGGTTTACAGCAGATGGACAGTACAAGAGAGAGACAATACTAGGATTGGCAGAGTAAGTAATGTCTATTATGTTTATTTTCTGTATTTTAAAATGGAATTACTTTAAGCTTTAAATCAGGAAAGTAAATTGAAAGTAGTGCTGACCTTTAGAAGGAATAAGTTTCCAGTTGCTTTAAGTATTTAAACTGTAATGCTGCTACAGGTGGAGTCTTTTCTGTTCAACTGCTGCATTTAAATTAAATATTGCTCAAATAAATAGATAATATTTAATGGAAGCTATAAATCTTTCTTTATCAACTGTTAATATTAATCAGGAGTGAATTAAATCGAAGGATAGGTGGAGGTCTGATCTCTTCCTTTCATCTCCTGTAAACCTGTCCTAGCAATCTGTTGGGGTATTCTCAAGCATCAAAGTTTGTAATGAACTGTAGTTTAAAAAAAAAAGTTAATAAACTGTATTTTATTTGTAATAATTTAGTTGAAGCTGCTATATATTACAGTATTTTTCCCCTGTAGTCATTTGGAAGTACTGAAGCCCTCACTATGCAAGTTCTTATATACAGAATGCTTTTATCTTGTCTTGCAGATACCCAGAATAATAATAAAAAATTATATACAAGATATAGTACAGTGCTGTCTTTTAATTTTAAAAATACCTTTACTTAACATCTGCATGCATGTACTTTAAGCTGTGAACGAGTCATAAATATACCTGAACTAGACACTCACATTTGAATAGCTTTTAGACAGTAAAAGGAAAAGTTCTGTGCAGTAAGAAGCTTTTAATACAATTTTTAACCTATTTTTAAACTACTCTGTGCACAAAGCTTTTGAAGAGCATATTTAGACGTTTACAGTCTTCCACCTATGTGGATGATGTCTTATTTTAAAAGAAGCTTTGTACAAGGATGAGCAATTTGCTAAAACGTAACAAATAGATGTCAGTTTTATCTTCCATATTTGGTGTATTGTCATTAGAGCTTATTATGCATTATTTATCAAATATTTAAAGATCTGGATGCCTCAGAGGCTTAAGTTGGTTCTCAAACAGTTAACAATTTGTTTGGTCAAAATAGAGCCAGAATGTATCTGCAAAGGTATTAGGAAAACTAGAGCAAGACTGAATGGGAATTCTTGAGTCATCAGATGAGGTCTCATGTAGCTTCAGGCAACTATAGTGTATAAATTTTTTACATTATTCTTTTATTTGAGGCCCGATTTTTTATAGTTTGTTTTGGTTTGTTTTGTTTTTTCTTTAACCTGCTCTGAGTTCTTCAGCCCTTCACTGCTTCTCTTAAAATGTTGAAATCAGCAGTTAGTTTTAGTAATTTGACACCAATTTCTTATGTCACTGATCTGAAATATTTTAGATTTTAAGAAAACATGTGGAATTATCAAGCAATCTGAATTCCATAACTTAGCTAGTGCTTATTGGGTTCTCTGAACAGTTTTGGTGCATATGGACTAGGTCCTTTTCGAGAAGACTAAACCAGAAAGTCCTGTATCAACCCACTCAAAGGTACTTCAGCTCTCATTAGTGACATTGGCTTCTGAACGATTGTGTATGCTTTTGGTATACTGCTCTGCTCCATTGCCAGTGTAGACACAGCCTTTCCTCCCTAATGCATTGCTGCTGCAGAACTTAACAAACAGCTGTAGCCTTCCTGCTTAAAAATGAGAGGAAACTAAAGGCTTTTGGCTTAAATATTCATTTAACTTCTCCAAGTTGGATTTTTTTAAAACGTTTTTTTGAGGCCAGGCAGCTGGAAAAGTGGATCTCATTTCCCTTAATTATGATTGAATCCAGTGGTGGCTCTAATGCTTTGTAGTTGATTGATGTCAACAGAAAATGTTGAAGAGTGATTGTGAGGAAGCATATGCACATGTACGATACTAAAGAGGTTTTAGAGAACAAGATAGAAGAAAAAACTTGCTGTGAGCTGCCAAATCTTTATTTCTGTGAGCTTGAAGATAGCAAAATCCCAGCTGAATGCTACTCCGCAGGCATAGTTTTTGATACTTTGGAAATGGATGCTAGCACACAGGAGGGTGGCTAAGAACCATCCACAAGAACTACTTCTGACTTTGATTTTGCACCAGTCTTGGTGCAGCAGCACCCAGGAGGTATATGCAAACTGTGTCAGCACAGGAGCCTTCGGTGGTGGGGGGTTGTTTCTCTGGCAGTCTTCAGGCTCAAGGTAATTTTCATGGTAATGGCCACTTTTTCAGGCTTTCATTGTGTAACAACTGCTTGTTCTTGTCCTATAGCTGTCATCTTGACTATGAATAGCTTGTTACTGTTCTTCATTTATACAGTATTTTTTCCTTAAACCTCCATTGCCTTATGCTATCACTGCATGCCACTCTTAAGAACGATGTTTTTAGTGAGGTTTATAAAGTGCTAAGGGGAATGGATCCTGCTTGCTCCCAGAGGCACTCTTGATTTGTATGATGGAGTTATTGTGCAAGTAGAGCATTCTTATAATCTTCCTTTTTCAATGAATCACAGAATGGTTTAGGTTGGAAGGGACCTCTGGAGATGATACGATCCAACCCCTCTGCTCAGGTGGGGCCACGTTGAGCCAATTGCCCAGGATTGTCTCTGGATGGCTTTTGAATACCCCAAGGATGCAGACTCCACAGCCTCCTGGGCAACTTGTGCAAGTGCTTGGTCGCCCTCACAGTGCAAAGTGTTTCCTGATTTTCTGAAGGAACCTCCTATGTTTCAGTTTGTACCCATTGCCTCTGGTTCTGTCACTGAAAAGAGCCTGGGTCTGTCCTCTTTGCACCCTCCCTTCAGGTATTCATATACATCGATTTGATCCCTCAAGCCTTCTCTTCTCCAGGCTGAACAGTCCTAGCTCCCTCAGCCTTTCCTCATAGGAGAGGTGCTCCAATCCCTTCATCATCTCTGTGGCCCTTCACTGAACTCTCTCCAGTAGCTCCATCATTCATGTCTGAACTATTCAGTCCATTTCGGAAGTTGATATACTATTTATTTTTATGTTGAGGGTTATTAGATCATTCCTAAAGATCATATTTTTTTTCTGTCAATATATTCTCTATGTGAATTGATCCTCTCTTACCTCCTCCTTAGCCAGTGGCCTACTCACTGTGCAGTTCTTACACAATCTTCACTTTCACTGTAACTGATAATCCCCTTGCTGACAGTACATCAAGGATTTCTGGAAAAGGCGAAGGAATAAAGTTTACATGTGTCGTGATTTGGCAACAGCTGTGTGTATCCTTGGTTAAAAAAAGATCTGCTTTTATGTACTGAATGACAACCTGCACAAACTGTTACTACTAATCTGAAATTTACAATCAATGTTGTCATGGTACTTCTCCTTAATGCCAAAAAATAGAATAGAGCATCTGCCTCCAAAGATTAGGTAATTCTTACTGTGTAGTTTTGAAAAAGTTTAGATCATCGTCATCTTATACATACATACATCATTGCTGGCTGGGTTAAAAAGTGTTCTGTTTGCCTTGCAGTATTGAGTCTAGTTTCAAGAGGTTTGGTGCAGGAAGCCTTGCTGTGCTGGAAAATCAGAGGGAAGGTGCTGTGGCTCTTGGAATGGAAGAGACAGGATACTGGGGAGGGGGTTGTGGTTTTTGCTTGTTTTTCCTTAAATGTATTTTGCGAAATACTTCTATTTGTATCAAAATCTATTTTTTAGAACATAAACACTAAAATTAAAAGATTTTAATGCTTATGTTCTGCCTCCTTTAATTTGCACACGTGTTACTCAGTTTAAAGTACCTAATATTTTTAAAGGTTTGTTATTACTGAGACTCCTTACAAGGGAGTTGGAGATTTTTTGGGGTTTTTTTGTAGCTTTTTTTGTTTGTTGTTTTTCTGTTTGTGGTCTGTTGTTTTTGTGGTTTGTGGTTTGTTGGTTGGTTTTTACTATTAGGACAATAGTTATAACGCAAAGGTTGTTCTAACTATAGCTAGTTGTGAAAATTTTCAGCATTATGTTTTCTCTTGACATATTGGTTTTGTGCTCTGTATCTTAGATCTTGTTTTAATTCTGTAATATCTGTAGCAACTGTCACAGTGGAATGTAATGATATGTTAGGTTGAGCATCTAGAAATCAAAATTAAGGTGTATGGATGTGTCAGCTCTTCACCAAGGGCAGAGAGAAAATCATAGACTCCAGCTGTAAGCATTGTTTAGCATAAATCAAGATATGGTATTTATCTGTGTTTGTAAATGATTTTAAAAAAAACCAAACCAAAACGAACAAAACAAAACAGAACTGGGAGGATATGGTCTCTAATCCGGGGCAGGGAGAGTGTTCTGCTTTCCCTTTATTGTCATACATGGATTGTGATGATAGTATAGAAAATATAATAAACTATAAATTACTCTTCTCAAAGTCTCTGCCTCACCACCTCAGTATTGTAGAAAACAATGTAATGAGTCTAAGGAAGGTGTTAAACAATATGGTAAAACCATTTAAGTTTATGGAGTAAACTGTTTCTAACATGAGTCTATAAAAGAGTGATGTAGATTATAATTTTGTAAACTAATTTGCTGACAGTTGCAATTGTATTTTTAATAGTTCACGTGTAAGACTAAGAAAAGTCCCACATGACTTCTTTAGTTAAAGAATCTAAAACAATCTAAACCAATATGGTCAACAGTATTCACATTAAATACATTTTTTTAAAAAGTTGTTTCTGACAGATCTATTAGGATGTAATTATAAAGAGATGGTATTTTTCTTGGAATTATTCTGAAGAAAAAACAACCCCAGAACGCAACCAAACCACAAGCAAAACCCAAAACTCCCCAAACTCAACATCAGCTTTAATAGTTTCGTATTGCATCTATACCAGCATGGGAAAAAACCCCAAACAGCCATGTGTGTATCTATTTGAGCCGTACTAGCTTTAGTGGATTAGTAAAAAATAATATGAAGTTAACTTCAGGCTTTCAGCACTTCCATCTGTTGTTCTGTTAAAAGCACACACTATAACAGAAAAATAGCTTTTAATATTTCTTGGTCATTTACAGAGTGGAGCGTGACACTTTCACATCTTCTTTTAGTCTGCAAATACTGAGAGTGTTTCTGTCTGTGAACTTCTAGGAAGAAGGACCCACATCCCAGTTGCTAATTGTGACATGTTAAATCCTTTATCACTTTGTAATTTAAATGAAATGAAACCTGTGGGTTTTGCTTTACCACAAAAGTTAAGCAGAAGCTGCCACTGAGAACCAAAGTGTATGTGAAGCAGGTGCTTGGCGTTGGAATCTTTCTGTGATTGGATTTTTTTTCCCCCCAAATGCAGCACTGAGTATAAACCAGTGCAAGAAGACACACTTTGTGTATTTTTATTTAGCTGTGATTCTAGCTTCTTAGTCTATGAAAGAAAAATTAAAAATAAATCATTACTCTTCTAATGCAGATATTTATTTTCATGTCTTGTCTCTAGGGGCTTAGTGTATCTTTTCCCTTTTTCTCTTTCATGTCTCGTCTGTAAGAACACTTGAAGAAAATGTCTACAAGATTGCTGTTTCTTTGGCTCAGCGATACAATGTTCCACTTTGGGAAGTTTATATGACCCATCTGGAATTTTTATTCACCGACAGTGGGTATGTTGTCTTCCCTGCAAATACACATAGGATTCTGTTACACAGAATTACGTGCTAACCTATGAGAAAATCGAAGAGTATTCGGGGTAGAGTTCAGTTTGTGATTTCACATTTATTGTGCTGTGATAGTTTGGGAATTTTTGTCATCTCCATGTGATGCTTTTGTAATCAGCCACAAAAATAGGTGTTACAAGCAAGGATAAAAGTCCATATGTGCCTTATTTTTTCTTATAAGTATCTCGGGACTTTATTTCAGTGTTTAGGTTTCCGTGGCTTTGAATGCTTAGTGCTCTCTTCTGTTAACAACTTACCTTGTTGGTATTTTTACAATCCCTTGGATTGTGTCCTGAAGCTTGATCATTTTTATATAATTATTTATTTTTAAAAAATCAAAAAGTTTTGCTATTTATTGATCTTTCTTCTACATAATAGCAGAGGGGATAAATACATTGAAGCTTCCCATTCATATTATTCAGCTGTTCATCTCAGTTTCTTATAGGAACCCTTTTTTACAGTGTATGCTTGGAACTGTTCTAGCCTACAAGATTATGGCAGACCAGACCTGGCACTGGCGGTATGGGGAGAGGGATGCTTTGCTTTTTTATTCCAGAGTTGGTTCCAGGAATATTTTTTGGCTTTTTTTAAAATAAACTTTAACACCTCGTCAGTCGGACAAGTATGTTTTGCCCACTGAAAGATGAATAAACTCATTTGATGAAAGGCTAAGCTACTTGCCTGAGTAGTGCATTTGGACGACAGTGATGTAGAGCCCCCTGTGTAATACAGCAGCTCTTATCTGCTGTTCTGACAGACATGATCAGATTAGTCTAGTTTGTTTCAAATTTTAAATTGTGAAAGCAGCTTTAGCTTGCAGCAGTATTTGTACCTCTCTTAACATTAACTATTAAAAAGGATTAACATGTTTTATAAAACATGAGGCATAAAAAGCCAAAGCCTGATAGATCTTGATGCAAGATCTGAGAAGATGAAATAACATTCTGAGATATTATTTTCTTTCTCCCAAAAACAGAGAAGTCATTCCCTCTAAATTTTGATGCTTTAAATTATTTAGTGCTTTAAACAAAATAGACAGGGTGTAAACATGGCAGCACTAGGGTGAATGTGAAAGAGCCAGCTGACTTCTCTGTGACTACAGTATTACCTAAGGTATTTTGCAACAGTTTTCTCTCTTTGTTCTTGTCCTCCCTGAGTTAGTATTCATAGAATTCTGAAATCACTGAAGTACAAAGTAACAACCTTTTCTCTAATGAAATTCAAAAAAGTCTTGAAAATTGATGTATAATAGCGTAATATGCTGCTGAGCATGTTTTTGTTGTATCATAATCTCATTTTAAAGTTGATTGACAGCATATGGCCATTACAGTATATTTTAGTCTTGGGATTATGGCATTAATAATGCATGCGTCGTTATGCATTCATTCTGAACTGAAAGAAGTTTATTCTAAGACTTAATCTCTTTAACCAAATATGCAGTATTTCTATAAGCCACTTTATGTAGGGAGAAGCTCAAATGAAGCACTTACATAGTTTGCATTAACTATTTCTTTGACTACTTGATGGAAAATAAACGTGATTTTCTGCCATGCTGTAAATTTGAGTCTGATGAAAAGCGTTTAGAATTTTTTTTTAATTTAATGGAAGTTTTAATGTTTCTTTTGAAGAATTTGATCACATTTGATTACCAAAAAGCTATAAAATGCATTTCATTATTTCAGCTACATAAAGATTTATGTTTGTCTGGCACAGAATCTATTATTCCAGAATCTCTCTGAACAGGATAATGAACCCTTCCTATCTACCACTAGCCCTGCCCCGAAAACAGTGGGCAAATCTCTAGATACTGTCAATATAATTTCATGTCCATCCAGCCTTTAGTTTGAACTTTGAGTGTAGCCATAAAAATGTATTCAGATCACAGTCTTGAAACACATCAGTTCCAAATGTCTCGTTTGTCTGATATTAAGAGTGAATGATGCTTTATTTCCATTAGCATCGTACTGATTTCCATTAATGTGGTACAACACTTAACGAATAACAAGAATTTAGAGAATTAAAATAATGCTTACAAGGTTAACAACCTAACTGGGGTAGGTTCTAGATGTAAAAACAACTCAAAAATAACTTATTCTCCCTCAGAAATTGGAGAATAACTTTTTAACCGAGGCATGGTTGTGTTTGTGGTATTTACTGTATGAAAATCATGTTTAGGAATGAAACTGAGACATTTTACATGGATATCAAAGAGAAACACTTACTTACATGTGGCATTTATAGTCAGGAAAAAGTGATGTTGAAATTCTAATTTAATCAATTTTAAAGTCAGAAGAAAATCAAATGGATTAGGAGACATCAGATTTTCAAATGAAATGTACTACCTAACATGGCTTATGATTGGAGTCTGGGGAGAGTCAAGGTGGTTGTCATCTGTGGGTTACTTATTTTCTCAGACTTCAGGTAAAACTGTCAGTTGAGAAAGGTATAAGGTTAAGATGAGATTCCTTGATATGCACCTCTTTTCTCCTAACTGAGGAAAAAAAGGAGTGATTGCATTCAGCTGTCTTTTATGTAGTCAGCTGGAGGTGTCTGAATTCATGCTGTGAATGGGCTAATGTATTCTTTTCATAAAGGTCAGGAAAAAGATTCACTTGAAGCAGTGAGATTGGTTGAGGTCAACCCGAGACTTGCTGATATTTTCATAAGTTTTCATGGATCACAATTTGAGAAGCAACTTGATAAAACTGTCAAATGAAATATGCTAAGCATGAATAATAGTGTCAAATAGATTAACTAGTGAGCAAGAGCCAGTTTTGAGTGATAATATTTCTCAAAGCACGTGCAGGTGTTCATCAACTACAGAAAATAGAATATAATAGGTTGGGAGAACATCTAATTGAGCAATAGGTCTTTCTGGCATCATTCAGCCACAAGTTTTTTTATTTGTCTCTTTTTTTTTCTTTTTTCTTCTTAAAAGGCTTCTTGTTCACACAGTCTGGACATATGTCTACTTTTACATATAGCTATACTTAGAGATGTGAAATGGTGCTTTGAATCCCACTTAAGTATTCATGATCCTTAATCTGCATGTCCAAGTCAACAGATAACAACATCAGGAAATAAAAGAGCTCCTTAGCTTTTGTTTATGGAGAATAACAACTATCTAAATATTTATGAATAACCTTCTTTCAAAATATCTTAAGATAAGTCGAACTTTAAACAAAGTAAAATATTGTTCTGTCTCCCAAATTATTCTTTCTAAACGCAGGTTATCAACTCTGGAAATAGAAGAAAGAGCACAAAGCCTGAGTCTCTTTGAGACTTTGAAAACCAATCCTGAAACCTTATATGAACACATGGTTAAATATGTTTACTCAAGTATTGAAGGCACAGATCACCAGCGGTTGCTTTATTATTTTACTCTCCTTGAAAATTGTGGTTGCTCGGAAGTGGTGAAGCACACTGTTAAACCTGAAACTCACATCCGACTCTTGAAAAAATTCAAAGCAGTTGCACCAGGTAGGAGAGTTCCCCTTTCTTTTCTTCATTAATGGTACTTATTATTCTGTTATGTGAGTGTTGACGTGATTATGCTTGTCTAGGTGCTCTTCAGGTATTTTTTTTTTCCAGTGAGCATATCAGATGAATGCAAGTAATTTAGTAGGTTAGTCATACAGGAAGGAGTAAGTTCCTTGTCTTTCTATTACTGGAAATTTCATTTATCACAGCAAGCAAAAAATATTTAAAAACAAGTGTCTGTTAGTGATGAAAGTTAAAATTATTGGCAGTGATTCACAGTGAATTTTTTAAGAAAAAATGCAGACCTCTCCTGGAGCTTAATTTTTAACACCACAAGTTTTACATGAATATTCTCAAAGAACTTAAGACAGTTTACTTTTCAGAAGTCTAAATTACATAATGTATCAGGAAATTTATGCATTTTGTTTGTTTGTTTTAAAAAGACTGATTTTATTTTGTATTTTATCCTTGCTGTTACATTTGGCTTTTGCAGAACTACACCACTATTTGTCCTCCTATGTTATCAAACAATGCCTATAAAAGTAAGCTGCTGGAAAGCACTAGTAAATTTTGAATACTGATTTCAGTTTGCTTGTTAGTCAAGTTTTAGCACTATCTTGAATTTCAGTTGAATAGCTCCAAATCCAGTTTCAGAATGAAAAATACGCACTATGTGGGATTACCTGCTGTGGGGATTAATTAATTTTTCAATACTGGAACCTCACTAACTTTGCTGCAGAATTTGAAGAGATTGAGCAAGTGAAGTCATAGAATCGTAGCATACCAGGTTGGAAGGGACCTCAAGGATCATCTGGTCCAACCTTTCTTGACAAAAGCACAATCTAGACAAGATGACCTAGCATCCTGTCCAGCTGAATCTTAGAAGTGTCTAATGTTGGGGAAATCAATGTACTACAGGAAGAAAAAAAGGGGTTTGTTGTTTTTTTTGCGGTGGGGAAGAGGGATTACCTTCAGTTCTTACTGAAAAATCTGTCAAGAAGTTACTGTTTGCCTTCAAAGTTATTTTCAGATGTTGCTCAAACAAAAGTCCTAGGACCATATATCAGAAATAAATTAGTAACTTTGTATGGTAAAAAATTAAGTCTATTGTATTGCAATGTCGATTTAAAGTCTCATTGTTCAGCAGTTTATACATAGTAGGCAAAGAACAGCATCAAAGTTTTTGTAGAGCTTACAGGCCCTCAGTGTATGAAGGAAAACATTGCAATGGAAGTTGGTTGTCTTATGAATTATATGCATAGAAAATAAAATAGTATAGTTGCTAGAAATACTCTGTTGCTAGAATAATTTTCAAGAGTTTTCTTCCTGTAGGAACCAAAGCAGTAACAGGACTCTTATATTATATAGATATTCATGTAAATGGATCTATATGTCCTTGCACTAGTTGACCTTACTTAAATTACCCGTGGTTAGTGCCTTGCATTTTTGCTGAGATAAGTAGTAAGTGCCAATTGTTACATGATCAGAACACACCTTTTTTAATTAATGAAGACTTATGTCTTGAGGTGCAGGAGGTTTTCTAGTGTTATATTAAAAAAGTAGTAGCACAGTTCTGCATACTCTCTCTATATGTGTGTGTATATATATGTATCTATATGTATAGTCTTGCTTCTTTGAGAATCTGCTTTTGTATCAAGATGTAATGTTAAAATATGTTCTGGGGATGAAGAAATGTCACATGCATCAGGACATCATAGAATCCCAGTGTTACCTATGTACAAACCTGTCTTCCTCCCCAGTCTGTCAGTAAATATGACTAAAAAGAGGAGTGGAGCATTCCTAGTTCTGCACATGCTGGTGTAGTACTGATTGTATTGCACATAAAAGTTGAGTTTGCGTAGATTTAACTATGCATAAATTTTATTTGGTTTGCCTCTTTCTGTCAATAGGTTTGAATTACAAAAAGCTAACAGATGAAAATGAAAACCCTCTGGAAACACTGCAGCCCGTTCTTACAAGTCAAAATATCCTGTCTATTTCCAAACTGGCTCCTAGAATTCCTAATAAAGATGGCAGCATGCTGTCACCAAGCTCTGTTTATACTGTCTGGCTACAAAAAATGTTTTGGAATGGCGATCACCATCTCATTAAAAAACCACCAGAAACCATGGATGAGTGGCTACATGCATATGATATGTGTTCAAAGTACTTGGACAGACTTGATCCAGATGATATTGTCACTTTTATTGATGAAATTACCTTTTCCTCAAAAGCTGTCACAAAGGTAAGCAGCTATATTTGAAGAATTTCCAGCCTGAGGTGCAGTGCAGTTGAATATAGCATCGAGAAGAAAGCCTCAAGACAATTTTTACACTTTTTTATTTTACACTTTTTAAAGATAAATTCGTAATCCTACCTTCCTCTGCCTATCTCTTGTTTTTATGACTGCCAGCATAAGAAAAGATTTTTATTCAGTTAGAGGAGTTAGCTCTGTGGATAAATGAGTTTTTGATGGAACTCCAAAATCTCTGTATTCTTTTTAAGATATTTGTGGACTGTGTATTTATTTATTGTACTTGTGCTCATCTTAAAATTCACTGTGCCGCAGGCTTGTGTTTAGTACCAGGCTTTTGCATTCTGAATTGGATACTCCACAGAGAAGCATTCTGGGCCTATGCATTTGGTTTCTAGGCACTGTAATAATATAAATGATAAACTCTGTCATAATCTCCATCTGGCTGAAAGCCTGTTATTGAAAGAACGTGCCTCCATGTCCATAACATATATTACCAGACCTGCAGTTTCTTTTTGCCCAGTGAAACCTACTTATAGGGATATTTCTAACATAAAGTTGTACTCATGCTTTCTTATGTATCTTTACTGCCAAGCACAAAAAAGAGATGAGATTTCATAGATATTTCTTTATTAGAAGATCTTGAGTCATCTTCACTTGAAATCAAGTTCAGCTTCATCTGAAATGAAAAGATGATAGGACGTGTTTTGTGGGTTTTTTTATGTCTTCCTCTTCTCTGTCCTGGATTTTGCTCATTTTCCAGAGGTATTTATGCATCTCATTCAATGAGGTGTCATTTTTCCCTTCTGTGAATATTGTTTTAGTCCTTCCACAATATTAATGTAAATTTATTAGAACTCATATAACCTGAACCTATGTCAGAATTTGGTAAAAAAAAAAATTGCTATTCATTGAAATCTAGGTAAAATCAAAGCTTTATCAGCACCAAATTTATTCTTTGATCTGTCTGTCATGCTAGACCGGCATGTCTTATCACTATTTCCACCAGCTGCCTCTGAAGTCTGTTCAGCAGTGTCAGTCCTTTTTGGGTGTTTTGATCATTTTAATCACATAGTTGCACTGAGTGCTTCATGCTTATCAGGAAAGACTGACACTCACCCTGAGATCTCAACAGCCAGACCTGACCCTGGGCTGAGGTAGCCAGGGACTGACTGTTGACTAATGAGAAGGAAATATTGTCTTCACGTATGATCACCACTAGTGACCACTTGAAACTTGTGCTGTTAATGTATCTTGGGCGTTCCAAAATTATTTCTCGTTTATTCCAGATGAATAGTGAAGGGAGAGGATGGATAGCCTCCACTTCATATTTATTTTGAAACACATTATTTGTTTTAATTTGCTTATTCCCATTCAGGATTGTAATACAGTTTCTCTACTCTGTTACAATGAGTAGGAGTAGCAGAAAGAAGATCTCGATGGCAGGATGATTGGGGTTGGTGGCCAGGCAGACCTTTGTAGTAGGATTCTGTTAGCTTGTTGACCATGAAAGATACTCAAGACGCGTTTGAAGCAGTTGGTCAAATCAGCTGATTTCCTGTGTCCCATGCACTGGGTTTGGGAATGAAACATCTGTTCAACCAGCTTGCAACTAGTTTTGCCTCAGGATCCCATCCAATTTTCAAGTGGAAATGTACAATGAAAAATTATCATTGTAGAGCCTGAAAACTTATTCCTCAGAGAACTCTTTCCTCTAACTTTGATCTGAAAAATGCTTCATACATAAAAGCTGGCTTTTGGCTTGCACCTTTTTCTTAATTTTTTCCCCTGTTTTGAGGCTGCATTGGTCATGTGATCACTCTTTTATTCTCTAATTCAACACTTTCTTCGAAGCCTAGTTCTATAGCCAAGTATTTTATTATATCGGTTTTCCATTCCTATAACAGATGCACATTTCTGTATTTCATGGAAGTGTTGATATTTAATATATGTAAGGGACTGCAAAAAACCATGGTCATTATCATGAAATAATTTGTCCTGTCACTGAGACAGCTGAGTTTCTCATATACGGAAAATTAGTGGAGTTCTTTTAAGTGGACCTTGAGAAGAAGTTTAAAGTGAGATAGTGTAAGTAAGTTTACTTAGGAGTGCTGAGAGGTGAATTGGCTTCTTCCTCCTTTTAAAAAAAAAACAACAAACAACCAAAAACTCAACAACAAAAAGGCAAAGAAAAAGCCCCACTAAGCAAAAAAAATCAAACCACAAATCCAAACAACTACTGCACACACAGCACCATCTTCCCACCCCCTCAAAAGACGAGAAGGGGGTGCAGGAGAGAGAATTAGTCCAGGGAGGTGATGAAGTGCACTCCATCATTATCCTTGTAGAATAGCACCTCCATCTAAAAGGCCCCCTTGGTTTGAAATGATCAAAAAAAAATCTCCAATGAATAGGGGTTAGGAGAATGAGCAAAGGAGTTGGGAGAATATCTAAATTGGAGACATTGATGGGGAGTTTGCACTTGGAAAGGGCTGTGCTGACTTGTAGTTCAGGGTATGATGAGTTTTCAGGTGCTCTTAGCTCTAATCTCAGAGATTCTTTTCTCCTATGTTTCTTGCAATCAGTAGGAATGAGTTACCACCTGGAAGATGAGATTCAATTCCCCAGCCTTAAGGGTTCAGAGAAGTGGGGACATTGGGCGGTGGGAAGTGTGTGAGCAGAGATGCATCACAGTGGGACTTCAGTAAGTCATAGACGCAAAGTAACATGGTCACAGTACTGGATATTCTGTATAAGACAGATCAGATTGCTTCCCAAAATTTAATATTTTTTTACCTGCAGTGTATCCTACAGGAGGTACTTTACAATTTTTGAATGGTTAAGGTTGACTTGTGAATCCAGAGTAATCCTTGATAGTTCTAGTGGCTAATAATTCACTGTTTATTTTTTAAAAATATGTTACTCTCCTAGACTGAATTTATCTAATTTTGAGACAAAATATGCCTTTTGTCTGCTGTACTACAGAGATCGTCGTCAAAGTTTGCTTCAACAGTCAGCCATTCAGCAGGGGCCACTTAAACTTGACTTTGGGAAGTTTTCTGCTCTTTTTTTTTGTTTGTTTGTTTTTGTTTTGTTTTGTTTGGTGGGTTTTTTGGGTTGTTTTTGGGGGAGTTGTTTGTTTCGTTGTTTTGTTTTGTTTGCTTCTTTGGTAGTGGGAAGTTTTGGGGTTTTTTTCCCAGCTCTTCCATTATTATCACAACTTTTCTTTGAACGCAGTATATCAGCATCCATCTTCAACTGAACAAGGTAGAGATGGGAGCAATATTCCCATTGTGTTTATAGTAAATAGGTGGAGTCCTTTACTCTTCATCAGTGCCCTCCTCACACATTAAAGGGCTGAAGTATTGATCCTTTGACCACAGCAACTCATTACAGTGTGAAGGTTCCTGCTTGTGGCACTTCTACTCAGAAATGCTTTTAATTATGCATAAGAATTTAATTTTTCTGACTAATAATTCAGTCCGCCTCTGGATCAGTAAGCATAGGCTATTAGTGTATATGAAACTACTTATAGTTTTGTATGAATTTTGAGTCTGTCACCTTTTCTTCCAGCAGCTCTTTTTGCTTTTAAATATGCTGACTTCATAGGTTCTTAATTATAGTAATTATATTAACAACTTTTTTATCATGATGATTTCCTGTTTATTTCCCTTTCTGTGATATATGTGAAGCATTTTGGGTAATTTGGGGATTTTTAAAAATTTTTATTTATTCCTTTGATGGCAGCATTTTGTTTGTTGTGCTGGATACGCGGTTATGTCTTCGAAGAACCATCTGTTTCAGAGCTCATAGATCACTTCCCTGATGTTTGTTGATTAACAGTACTCTGAAAACAAAAGCCCAACACAACAAAACTAAAAAAAATAAACCACAACTGAAAACAATTACTTTTTTGTTCACTGTGTTTTCATTATTGAACACACACTGCAAATTGGGATGGGCACAATATATTGATTAGTAAGAAATTAGTAAGTAAGATCTACAGCTTTAGATAGCAGAAGTAGAATAAGAAGCAGTGTTTTCATCAGATCGGTCTTCCATAGAGAAAGAGAAGTTGAAATTTGCTTTCCCTGGGCTCTCCCTTGTGGTGTTCCATAGGCTCGGCCACATTCATTCAAACTATGGCTGATGGCATTTTTTGTTTACTATTACATCCTTTGTAATTTCTTTTCCAACTTCTGATGCAAAGGAAGAATTTTGCTTGCAACTTAATGTTTTTACTTGAAAGGTTGACTCTTACTTTCTCTGAGTCAGTAAAGCGTTTTTGACCATTTTCTTTTTGCTTAAGCAGGAATACGACATTCACATTTTGACCACGGTCCAAATGGATGTGGAGTGGGAACCTGTAATAATTGGGTATTAACTTGCATCATTTTCTCTTACAATTTTAATGACTGTTGTGGTTTAACCCAGCAGGCAGATAAACACCACACAGCCATTCACTCATTCCCTCTCAGCTGGATGAGGGAGAGGAGTGGAAAAAGGGTAAAAATTCTGGGTTGACGTAAAGACAGTTTAATAGGACAGAAAAGGAAGGGAAATTATCATTACTGTTATTATTTATTATTAAAATAATATTAAAAACAAGTGATGCACGACAGAATTGCTCACCACCCAATGCCCAGCCAGTCCCCGAGTGGCTGTGCTGCCCCACAGCCACCTCCCCTGAGTTTTGTTGTTCAGTGTGACATTATATGGTATAGAACATCCCTTTGGTCAGTTTGGGTCGGCTGTCCCAGCCGTGTCCCCTCCCAGCTCTTTGTACACCCCCAGCCCCCTCGCTGGCAGGGCAGAATGAGTTGAAAAGTCCTTGAATTAGCATAAATAACTTGGTATATGACTTTAGCATAAAACAGCTAAAGCATAAGTGTGTTATCACCATTATTCTCATCCTGAATCTAAAACACGGTACTATACTAGCTACTAGGAAGAAAATTAACTTCATTTCAGCCGTAACCAGGACAATGACTTTAAATGCCATTTTAAATAATTGTATAGAAAGCTGAGCTTAAAAAAAAAAGAAAAAGCAAGGTCAAAATGTTCAGTATCTTTTCTTTGACTGATTCACTTTGTAATGCTGTATAAAATGCTGAGGGAAAAGACAGGGCATGACATTGCCTAAAAATGTATAAGAAATGTGTTAATGATGTTCTTACATAGTGTGACAGCATTCAGATGTTGCTTTTTGAATTACTTGTTTTTCCTTTATCACTTTTTATCACTGTGCTCCAGTTCAGTTGGTTTGTCTTGTCTGACCTTATTTTCTGTATGGGTATTGACAAGTACCTCTTTTTCCGATATCGGTACATTTTTAGATACCTTCTTGTGCCTTTCTGTTAATATAGTTATTTTAATTAAATCTACTTCAAGTCTGCATAATGTGAAACTTTATGAATAATGTCTTCTCTTTAACTGGTTCCTGATATGCATTAGAACTTTTATGCTAATCTCTGGATGAACTGTACTGAGTCTGGCAGGGATGAAGTTATCTTTTTTCATAGCAGTCCCTATGGGGCTGTGTGTTTGGGCTGCTGCTGAGCTCTGCTTGCACAGTGTCAAGGCTTTCTCTTTTTCTCAACACCCCAGCCCTGAGTAGGTGGCAGGTAGGAGTTTGGAGGGGACCCAGCCAGTAGAGCTGAGCTGGGCTGGCCAAAGGAGCGTTCTGTGCCGTACAATGTCATGCTCAGCAGTGACAAGTGGGGTTGGAGGGTGTCTTCAGAAATGGTTCTTGCTTGGAGGTGATGACTGATTGCTTCACTTAGTTTTGGTTTGTTCATTATTTTTCATCTCTTTCATGTATTAAATTATCTTTATCTTGACCCTCAAGCTTTCTTGCTTTTGCTCTTCTTTTTCTCTCTCCCTGTAGGAATTTGGAACCAGCTTTTGTTATTACATAACTGTTCAACTTAATTCTGAATGTAATTTAATGTAATTTGCTTTCTGTTCATGCATATCTGGTTGGCTTGTAGCTACATGACATTTGGTTGGTGGAATATATAAAGCTGGAAATGAGTTGCAGAGGTGGGAACTGGACCAAACTGTTGCAGAGACATTTTTCATTCTGAGTGTGACTGATCACTGGCCCAGGATGAGCTGAGATATTGTGGAGTCTCCCACATTGGAGATATTCAAAAGGCACCTGGGCATGGTCCTAGGCAGCTGGCTGTAGGTGGCCCTGTTTGAGCAGAGGGTTTGGACCAGATGCCTTCCAGAGGTCTCTTCTAACCTCAACCTTTCTGTGTGTCAGTGTTGCTGGGATCTCAGATTTCTGTGGCATTAAAAAGAGGGGAACTGTTTTCATAATCTCAAAGTTGCATGCTGATCACTGGCAATAGAAGTGACAGGGTCAACAGCTTCATGTGCAAATGATTGATACTTGTACAGTACTTTATTAAGAAATACTTACATATTCTGAAGGAAATGGGCTTCTGAGATGAGTTTTTACCCTGAGGAGTGAAATCTGTTGAGCTGAAATAGTATGTGCTGTTCCTTGATTTGAAAATGAAATAAAACAGATTTTTTAGGATTTTTCATTACACATTATAGCCTATAGAATTAAAAATCTTTTTAAACTGTAAAAGCTTTTTAAAAAGAAAACTTCACTTCACATGCAAAGAGAGATTGAACTAGCCCCAAGCTACCTTTTTTATCACTGGGTATGATACATAACAAATCTCATTACTGAAGCTGACTAGAAGTATGGAGGATAACTATTCACGTTTTAGGATAAAATAACCAGAGAAATGATATGTTGATAGTACTGCATTTTGACACTGTGCAAGTATGATTGCAAAATTAAAATAGTCTTGGGAATAGCCTGTATTTTTTCTTTTTTAACGCTTTATTCTGTATGTGCTTGTAGTATTGTAACTTCTGAACTGGTGGTGTATTCGCACTGATCTCTAGGATATAACAGATGGAATACTTAAATTGTTTGCCTTTTCTATCTCTCTTAATTGCATTTTGAACAATAGAATGTACAGTAGAAGGGGAAAAATGAAATAGGTACCTGTTTTCATCTTTTATCATGTTTACAAAACAGATATAGTATTCCATCTGTGGTCATGAAATTTTAAAGTGATATGAAGATTATCACCTTTTCCTTGCTTACAGAAAAACCTGATATTGAGACGTTGTTCAAAGAACAAAATCATACTTAATTACTTTTGATGGGAATGGAACTGACTTGTGTTTTGAACTAAATGGTAAAATACACTTTGTATTTACCCTGTTAATACTGGCAAGTTTTCTTAGCTCTTACAGTATGTCCAGGCATTTTGCTCTAATCATTAAAAATGTCCAGTGGACCATTACTGTGGTTCACAGAAACAGCACAAAAGAACCCAGGAATAAACCCTACATCTTTCACTGTGTGTTTTTAGGGCAGGGGAAAGCTGTAAAACCTTCCACTAACTAATTCTTATCAAGCTTTGCAAGTAGATGGTTAAATTCATGATGTAAACATAAATTTTTCTTTTTTTTGAATGATGATATAGCTGTTTAATTTTCTTCTGTGGTAATTCAGCCTCTCTTCTACTCCATGTGTCGTATACATTCAAGCTTTGTTTTCTATTTATTGTGTATTTCAAATTGAAAATTAAAATTGTTTGTATGTCTCTATCCACTATTCCAGTAAGTAAAACACCTGATGTTAAAAGTACCTGACGCTATGGATTTAGACTTGGGAGATCCCCACCCATTATAAAGTGTATTACAAGCTTCCTTAAAACTGTACTTTAAATTATAAACTAAGAAATTACACAAGAATTTTTAAAATCATATTTCAGACTTTCTTTTGGACTTCTGTATTGTCTGTATAAAGAATATTTCCATCTGTATCCTTCTCCAATGTACTCTTGGTTTCTGGAACTTTGGGAATCTGTGGTCATTGCTCAGGCTCCATTTTGGTGTCCTAAATTCCATTCTGAGGCACTGGAATGACTTTCATGCTACATAAGGGTAGGGGAAAAATTCAGTGTATGTATGACTCCCTTTAAAAATTCAAACTCTATGAAAACTATAATGGGCAAAAAACCTCTAGACTTCCCTGGTTTCAGTTTAATGGCTAGATATGTCTAGTTGTACAGGTCTTTCAAATTAGTAGTTTTCTGTTTTGTGTAACTTATACTTTAATATGTTGATTTAAAAGTTGGTAGACCTCCTGATTAGTTTTTTTTTTTTTATGGTTACGATTATGGTCTTAGGGATATATTTTAAACAGTGGTCTAAACCTGACAGAACTAACCTTAAGCTGATTTTCAGTTATCTTGTAAATCAATCCCCAGACATGTCTCAATGTAGAATTAAAACCCAAAGTTTATAAGGTGGCAGTCTACAAAAATCATAAATATTATTAGGGAAAAGAAGTTTCATATTATTTTAAATGATCCTTTATGTCTTATTAGCCATTTATTTAAAAAGTTTTTTCTCGTAAAATTTGTCATTCAGTTTTATGCTGTGCTGAAGTGGCACTGCTGTAATACAAACAGTAGTGTGCGGATGATGAATGATTGAATATCAAGTAATGTTTTTCAGCTGCCAGTTGAAGCCAGGATGGAAGTGACTAAGAGGGCTACTAAGGCAGTCAAACATCTTTCTGAGAAGTCAAGAAAAAAACCTTGTGAGAGTGGCATGGAAGGTGCCAAAAATCCATCTGTTGCTTATGAAGAAACTCTGAATCACTTGCAGCAATCTCTTGCTCATCTGGAAACACTCACTCATAGTTTTATCACTTCCCTGAAAAACAGTGAAGAGGTAAAGATTACTAATCAAATCATTATTTTGAGTGACTAGCAGTGATAGACATCAGTCTTCTGTCGTATCATATTGATGTTTTGTACCGTTGTCTTTCTTGACCTGGTTTTTGAAAATTCACCTCTATCAATCGTTTCTTTTTTGTAGTACATGTTAAATCCTGCGAGAAAGAAAAATGCTGAATGATACAGTCCTGTAAATAAAGAGTTCACTGATTTTTATTAAAAAAAATATCTATTCACAGGTTACACTGCAGAAGTATGGCTATTTCTATGATTTGTCAAGGTCAGAGAAAGAAAAAATCCATGAGCAAGCAGTAGCTATGTGTATAGATGGTCAGCCCCTGGACATGATACAGCAGTTGTTACATGTGGCTGTTGGAGATCTTGGTCTTTCTCCCAAGGGTATTGTCCAATGTGCTATTAAAAAAATCGTATCTATATTAAGGTAAGTACACCGTCAAAATTAAGACCAAAAATCTTTATTATTGGGTTTTGGGTATTTTCTGTGGTTGGTTCGTTGATTGGGTGGTTTTGGTTTGGTTTGGCTTTTTTTTGTAGTGAGTACTTGTTTGCTTTGTCTGGGTTTTGCAGAAAATTGAGCAGTAACAGGAAATGAGTTCTTTGATCATTTGTGCTCCTCTTTACCTGTAATTTCATATTCAGATAAGACAGGTTTTTCTGAGTTTGGGAAGCCTGGGCAATCTGAACAAAGCAAGTCACAGATCTCATCCTGTTTACTTGGGGGTAGTTTTAGTTGGTCTGGCATTTGGGAGGAAGTAATAAACTTTGGGAATATAGAACTGCTCAAAATACCCGCTTACGGACATGGTGAGGATGTGGACACAGGTGAGGGAAAGCCAAGCACACTGTTTGAAAAGCATTTCAAGTGAATTAAGGTGCTTTTCCTTGATTTTGATCGATGCTTACCTTGCCATTTGTAATACCTTTTGTTAAGCTCTCATAAGAGATTTCACCACTTCAGTAGCCATAGTGGTTATAAAATTCCTTTGACAGTTAATGTGTGACTTCAGCATGTCCTTTAACTTCCAACTTTTTTTCCTGCCACAGCAAAACTAAAGGTATTTATTAGGGTGGTGAAGTGATAGGGGATGTGGTTTGGGATCAAATGACGATCTGTGAGGCAAGTGAACATTGAAAATTATTTGTTAGTGTTGAGTGAGTCTGTGAAGATTCCACTGTTCTTTAACAAGGTTTAGGATATGTGGAAGTCCCTGAATTTTTTTAGCCAGATAGAACAAAATGTCCTCTTTCCTACTAGGGAGTTAGCAGCATTCTGACCTGTGCCTTAGTGCGATGAAGTCCGTGTGTCTGTCTCCATGTTCTCTGTCAGAACAACTTAACTAAAGAGCACACTTTTGGACTGGAACAGAGATGTGAAGTTCTCAAGACAGCAAGCAGAGAATGAAGTTCAGGGATTTGACATCTACATCCCTGTCAGTATTTGTGTTCCCAGGATAAAAAGAGCCCGAGATGGATTTTTTTTTTTTTTTATATTTTTGCCATCGCTGTTAACAGAATATCAATGAGTTCTTGAGCACCATGGAGAGATGGATTCTTTTTCTCCTTCGGAGTTGCATAAAAGTATTCATTTTGGCTTTTTGTCTGCAGTCAGATGAAATTAATTCATCAGGAATTTTTTTTTTTTTTTTTTTTTTTTTTAAAAAACCTTTTTTTTTTTTTTTTTTTTTCAAAAAACCTTCCTTGAGAGAAGGGTCTCTTGGACTTAATGTTGCTGAGTGCTACCTATTGCCTCTTCTTGGAGGGGTCTTTGATGTACTAAATATTCCAAATGAAATACCACTGTATCTGTAACCTAGTGGTTTCAGTAGAAATATTTGCTTCTCCACTTTTTATTTCTAGAGGGGAGGGGGATGACAGCGAGAGGGACATTAATTGTATCTCATCCATGAAAAATGAACAGATACTTCTCATTCAACTATTTATACAGAACTTTCTTCTGAAGTATTTCTCTTCCAAAGAGATATGTGCAACAAAAGTACAAAAGAGCATTGCATTGTTAGGTGACTGCTAGATGCTGCTTATCACTTCTAAGACCAGTTTAGATGGATAAAACTTTGAGAAAAATTATGTGGGTAGGATAATCTGAATGCACGTACTAGAAACAGAGAAACAAGCCTAGTATGGAAAATAATCTATGGCTTTATTATCTTTGCATGTGGGTGTATATTATAGCACATTGAAGTGCCACAGGTGGAAAGAAGGCAGCCTGTCAGAATGTCTGCAGTCCTCTCCAGTAGAAAATTGGTTTCTCCCATCACTCAGTTTAAGAATGTTCATAGCATCCTCAAATGATGGTAGAGCTTTTGTGCAGCAACATAAATAATATTCTTTCTTGTCTTGGTTTGCCCATTTGGTGAAAAATAATTTGGCTTTAGATAATCACTGTCCTGCTGTTTCTGACTAAAATACAACAGTGTGATACATCTGGATATAAAACTCAGAGAGTCCAGTTATTTCAACTGAAATGAGTCTCATTAACATGCAGAGTATGAGAAACCTGTCACAACTTCTCTTTCTACTCTGCTTCTTATCAACATTTTTCTGTGAACTGAATTATTTGTTCTTTACATGCACTGCAAGGCTGGAGTGTCTGCAAGTTGATTTAAAGTTCTGGGGCAGAGACCATGACCAGTAACTGCTATGCAGCACTTTCCAGTAAAGAAGGGAGTGACTGTCTCTGGTAGAGAAAACTGTAGTTGCAAGGATGGAAGAATTAGAGGCTCTAGATAAACTCATTTGGTGTGTGATGTGACCTATAGTGATCAGTAGAAGTGTTTCTTTTCTCTTCTTTGGTGGAAGGGGGAAGATCATTTCATATCATTCATGGTAAATGAACAGATAATGGCCTATGGAATGTTTGTCTACTACAATGATGAAGAGCATGAAGTGAAAATCTAGTATAAAATAAAATAGAAAAGACTTGAAATAATATCCTTCCTATTATGGAATTCAGTAAGAGGATAGTATTATAAAGTAGCATCACTATAATTATAGAGAGCCATTAAAAGAAATGTTGCTTGGCATCTCTTCAGAGAGTTCTTGGCATCTCATCATCTATTCATGTTGTTGCTGTGACTGAAATTGGATGCACCTCTATCCTACACTCAGATGCTAGTTTTTAAGCTAGACCATAACACAAATTAAAACACATTATCCACATTATGTGCAATGTTTGTATTTTAGGGCTAATGGGCAATACACATTGGTGTGTATACAGTCTCTCCAGCAGAACACATCCGCATACTTTGTATGACAAATGTATTGGACGCTTCCTTGTTTGCCTATGGAAACAGCTCCTATAATTAAAAATTAGTTGCCTCTTCAGTAGAAGTCATCAACTTCTGAAAAGAAACTCAGAAGATTTTGGTAATGATGGTAGTTTGATTAGACTTATCTAAGATTCAATTTAAGCCGTTACCTAAGATCACTCACATGATGTTCTGGAGACTTTCCATGATGTGCAACTGTGGGCATGTTCATGGATGATGAATCATGGAAGACACTTGGTCTATTGAAGACATTATGGCTTCCTTCATTTGCAGCTCCTAAATTTCTTATCTTGGGTGTTCAGATGGATGTTGCATTTCATGACGCTTTAGAAGTGGTCACGTAGTAATAAGCAGGAAAGGTTTGATGAAATACTGAGTTCTTATTTAACAGCCAGTGTTTCATGAAGAATGCAAAACTAGTTTTATTATATTGAGTAGCTAACTTAGAAGGAAAAAAAACCCGCCAGATTTTTTACTATCATCTCAGTTGAGTTACTCATACAGAGTAATTTTATAACATGGATATCACAATTTGAAACTATGGAAACGATGGTTTGGCATTATGACTTTTTTCCCTAACTTTGAAAGATCACACCAACAATATCACACCAATTTTCTTATTTTCCTGATACAGAGAGGAAACAAAAAGAAAGGAAAATGAGGCTGTAGAAGTAAGATGATATCAGGTGTTTTCAATGAGTACGATAATTAGGTTAAAAGATTTAGGTGAAGTTAATTTATTCTCCTTTTAAGCATTCTTTGTACTTGGTTGTGTTTGAGGAACTTGATTAAATATGCATCACTTTTTCTGAAGCTGAACTGAAATCAAAATAAGCCTTTATCAGTGTAATTTAAACAAGGCTCATACCTAGGAGTTCTGATGTGAACACTGAATCCTGTTCTGTTTAAAACATGCGTAAAATAGCATATAATCTGTGTGGAAGACTAATCCTTCATTAATTATATTTGTTTCTGTTAGTACCTGCTTATTTTTAATCATTAATTATTAAGAAAAGAACAAGGCAACAATCTGTGGAAACTTGACACGATTATTTGTGTCATGAGCTGTTACATCTTTTTAGTTTCTCTAACCATTAGGCGGTAAAGGCAATGTTAAGCTTAAAAAATGCCAACTTTCATTCTAGATTTCTTTTTAAAATACTTTCTTGCTCTAAGTGACTGTAACTTACTGTTTAGAATCTCTTCCTGCTTAATGAATAGTACCTGTCTGTGTAAGACAAACTGGAAGTTTCTGTAAGTGTTCGTACTTTAACTATACTTGAGAACTGGCTTCACATGTATTGCCTGAAACAGCTGTTTTCTGTTTTTGAAAATTCCCATTAACTTTTTTGGATATGTGTTTATTTTGACCCAAGTGTTTTCAAGGTGCTCAGAGCCTAGTTGCGATAGGAAATAAAGACTTTCATTTCTAATCAGAGAGATGAAGGGCTTTGGATGAATTAAGTGCTAGAGCTGTTCAGAACCAATCTCCAACATTGAGGGTACCTAAAATAAAAGGTTTGCTGGTCATTCTACTTTGATCTGAAAGTTGCTTATGTACATTAGAGATAATTTAGGATAAGCAAAGCTATTAAGATCTCAATTTATGTACTCTATATCCTATTCTTTTCTGGTTCAGACAATCATTCTCTTCTTAGTATGTAAGCTTTATAAGTATTATTCTAGTTTTCTTTAGACATGGCATAGTAACACCCTTTATTGCTGACTCTTTATTAAGTACTTAAAGAGCCAACAAGCCACAAAACAAGAACACAAAAAGCATCATAAGGCAGTAAAATTTAAATTTGGCCTGTAAACAACATAGTTGAAGTGGCTTTTATCTACATTCACCCTGGGAATAGAGTCTAAGTTTTCTTAGCTTTTTTAATTTTAAAACAAACTTGCATGTAGCTGCTTGTGTAAAAAGATTACTTTAATAGTGCTGCTGTTTTTACCGCTTTCCACACTTCTGCAGTGTTGATGTAATCTAAATGAGGAGGTTGTTTGTTTGTTTGTTTGTTTAATGGTGCATTCCATTCTGTTGTTTCTCCTTTTCTGCAAGAAATATACTTTTTCTTCCACACACTCTCCCTCTGCCCCCAAAACTGAAATTTTTGATGTGGTTGGTAGGAGGTTGGGGTTTTTTTGTTTGTTTAGTGGTGGATTTTTTTTGTTAAAATAGATTTTATCTTTTGGACAACATTATCTCTCTTTGAGAATCTGAAATCCTGAATATTTCTGTATCATAAGTTATAAAAAGATGTGACTTTATTGTTATCGAAAGATGGTTAGAAAAATACCTAAATTTAAACTTCATTATTCTAAAATTTATTTAGAGGCCATATGGTAGTATTGTTGTTAACAATTGTATTTCTATCATAGTAATATGTAACATTCTTTTTTGAGGAAAAGGCTGGTGTTACAGGCTTTCTACTCTCATTTTGAACTTTTGAGTCCAGCATAGCAGTATAAAATGCCTAAGGTAAACTGAGGTTTTATCTTACAGCTGTTCTGAGTGGAGTCACATGTTGATTTTAAATCTAGTGTTCACTGCAGTGCTGGTCACTTATTAAGATAAAAATAGAAAAGATGAAAGCTATGAATGCAGGAAGACATTAAAGGTTATAAAGACTCAGGTCTCTGTGCCATATTGTATAATCATTTTTTTAGGCAATAGATTTATCTTACTGAAATAATAAATGAAAAAATTACAAATGCTCTCATAATTTTTGATCAAAAAAACTGAGAAACATTGCAGTTAATTTTACATGTTACTATCAACTGCACAGCATATTTTGGCTTTAGAACCGTCGGGGTAGTCTGGACACTTACTTATTTTTATAAAGATATCCTATAGGAAGAGGCTGACATTTGTAGTAGCAGAACAACTTCGATATAGTGGTGAACTTTAGAGAAAATATACTTTATCTCTGGGTTTAGTATGCGAATTTCAGAACTATTTGCCTTTCTTTCTCTTTCTTCAGTGCAGCACTGACAAACTGAGATAGGCAAAACCATTGTTTTTCTGGTTCATCCAGACATCATTGCCCCTGCAGCAGTTTCTGTGAAGTGACACAGTGTAAAATCCCTCCCTCTTTCAGCACCAAATCACATCTTTGTGACTACTGCAAATCTTAGCAGAAAATGTCACTTTCAATGAGGCTTTTTTTCCTACCAGGTTTTTTTTTTTACCCTCCCAATATTTTCTACCTTTTGACCTGTGGAATGACATTATTGTTTAACTAGAACATCTGATGGGCAACGTGATTCACCTTTTCCTTTTCCTACACATCCATAGTGAATGCTGTTTGATGGGTGGCTTAATCCTCCCCTTTCCCATATACTGTTCTTGACCATGTGTTCCTTCCTTTTAAAGTTTTAGTTCTGGTGAGCATTAACCTGGTTGATCCGACTAAAATGAATCTTGGAGGGGGTGGGAAAAGAAGTCTCCTGAATCAGCAGACAGGATTTTTTGACTCAGGTTACAGTCAAGTGATTTAAACCAATAGTGATACTGCAAGACTATATTTGAAAAGAAAAGATGGTGACATTTATGTGTAACCTTTAATTTGTTTAGTCAATGTTGTTGAGCTCTTTAAGGTAATGAGATTACATGTGGATAGTTTGCTGACCTAATCTGTGTTACAAATGCTAAATTTTAACTATTCTTTTTCTTTCAAGTTTCACTGCAGTATTTTAGTATTTCTCTTTCCCACTCTCCTCTTCTTGTTGCCCCTTGAATTACTTTGACATGCGAACGTACTAGTTCAACAGGGAAAGTGGAAAATTGCTATAGTCATTGAACAGTTCATGTAAATCCTACAGGTGGATTGAATTAGATAGATATTAAGGACCATTTCAATGGTAATTTTATATCTCTCCTTAACAGTGGAAATGATGGCTCATCTACATTAATGAAAGATCCACTTGGTATCCTAGAAGGCATCGTTTCTGCAGTGCATGCAAGTGTCGAGAAAGGGTAAGAACTTACTGTGTGGATTCTTTGGTTAAGACTTTGACAGATACTTCTCATGAAAGACTTGAAGATAAGATACGTGGTATGGGTGATTTTTATTCATTGATATATATAATGGGTTTGCACTTAATTTTCTAAGACTTTATTCTGGAACAGGGTATCATTTATCCGATTCATAATCTGAGCCCTGACAGAAGCCATTACTTGATCATTTGGGAGAAAGCAAGTCACCGAATCTAAACTTTAGGTAACTATGTATTATGGTGACTTTAGAATATGATTTTTCTGTTGTGACTACTGCAAATTGTATATCTACCAGGAGTACTTCACTGTTTTTGTTTCAGTTTAGTAGATAAATTACAAATAATAATAACTCACTTTCAGATATCTGAATTTAGATGTCTAAATTTGTCAGTATTTGTAGAGTATAGTGCAGAAACAATTTTACAAATGCTGTATGATGCTTCACCTTATTTTTTTCCTCCTCTGTGGGGATGTCCTTATTTAGATCAAATAATGATCTGTATGTCTCATGGACATTTTCCATTGTGTTTCTAGTAAAGACTAGGAAGAAAAAGGTGAGTTTTTTTGCAGATGTACAAACTAGGAACTCATGTATGACAATAGTAATAAACCCCCATACTCTCTGGTAGCCAACAAAAACAATTACACTATTGTGTGGAGGCTTCTCCACTGACATTAAGTTAAGTTAAATATTGGATACTGAAGTAGCCTGAATTGACGTCAAAATCTACAGTAAATCTCTTTAGCAATATTCTCAGTTGGAATGAGAGAGTTGGTACTGTTTTATTCTGAGGTGCACTTTCTGGAGTCTCTTCTTTGTATAATTCATCAGCATTTAACTGCTGAAACAGTAAACTGGAGTGAAAGTCATTGTGGTTACAAGAGATTGTTTACATTCATTTAAATACTTATTATTTATTGCCTTAAACTGTAGCCATTCAATTTGTGAAATATAAAACTTTCCCTCAGGAAAACATATATAAACATCAGGTGTGAGCTTTACAAAACTCTTGAAATATTCTAGCCGGTCTTTTTAATTCGCAAACTTTTAATGCCAGTTTGAATGCCACCTGTTCAGCAGAGGCATGTCTAATTTAGCTCAAGTTCTGAGCTGTCAGCATTATTCAGACAATATAAAACCTAAGTAAAATTGAAATCCTTGTAATATGAAAACCTAAGCTGTCAATGTTTGTTATTTTGAAGCTGCAAGACAGGTTAAATTGGTGTTTTCTGTCTGATATTACTGTCCCATCTGTCTTGTTAAGACAAATAAGGAAGCATTAGTTATAAATCTCACTCCACCTGGAACCACTTTCTTGATGATTTTTTTTTTTTAAAGAAAAAACATTAGCTTTTGTATAAAATACTACTGAAAGATAGCATAATAGCATTTACTGATTTGTTACATGCTAGTTTATAGCCTCTAAGGGACATAACAGATCATTCTGTCTGCAGCTGCTAGCTGGTTGCTGAGTTCATGGTAATGTACTGTAAATGCTTTCACACAGTTAGAATGTATTCAATATGATACACTTTTTGAATCAAATTATTTACTTAAGAGTTTTTCTCATTAGACAAATCAAGCAAAACCCCAAACAGTGTTTTTCACATCTCGTGTTTTTCTTTCTAGGCATTATGGGCAATCTGCAATCATTATCATACTAGAATGTACAATAATCAGAGAGGTGGTACACGAAAAATAAGAAATGGCTAGGACTATAATTGGGAGAAACTAATTTATCTATGTGGAGCATAAAGAATGGACTTGTAAGGAAAGAAAGAGAATATAGGACTATATGAATAGAGAATATAGGACTATATGAATAAGCATCAGATATTAAAATGTCATCCTTAAAATGCAAGCAGTCAAGTTGATTTTCCAGAAAGTCAGATGGCATGGGAGTACCTGCATCAGTCAGGACCAGACTATAGAAAGATGGCTGAGATCCAGCACCATTACAATACAAGTGGCAGTCAAGGTAGTACATGGGAGAATATGCAACTGTACAGATGGATTTCAGTGGTATTACATGGTTCAAAAAAGTTCTTACACCACTTACACCATCTGATTTATGAGGGCTAGTTTCTCTGCAGCCTTGCAGAGGTGAGCCCTTCCATTTTAGTGTTGCTTGTTATATATTGAATGTGCTCGTTAACAGCTTTGAAAATACATACAGTGCTTTCATTGGGATTACCAAAGTATGTTTAACACAGTGTTGTTTAATTGCAGGGAGAAAGTAGTCTCTTCAGATGACCTTCTGGAGTGGCTGAGACCTTTCTGTGGTGATGACTCTTTAGCTGTGAAGCCTCGCATCGAAGTATTGCAAATCCTGGAGCAAGCCTTCCATCTCAGTGATGAGGATAGCAAGCTACTTGTCTACTTCAGGACACAAGCTGTTCTCAAAGCTTGCTGGCCTGAAACAAAGGTATTAATATTGATTGCTATAAATGATAGCATAAGACTTATCTCATACAAGGATTTTATGTTGGCCTGCTGGTTTGCAGTATATGAATCATCAAATCATAGAATGATTTTGATTGGAAAAGACCTTTAAGTAGCCTTGTCTTTGAAGCTTGTGCCATTTTGAAATGATATGAGTATCACTTGCTGCATGTATAGTTATTCAGAAGTGGAGCTACTTTTTGTCCATTTTCTAAATGCCTCCCCCACATGCAAAGACCTTATGGAACTGAAATAGAATATTTCTGATAGTTCCTCAAAAAAAATGTATGCACAAAGACATTTTATAAACATATCAGACAAAAGCAGTGTCTCAGTGAATAATAATAAAAATCTTAAACGAAAAAAAAAGTACTTATCTCTTGCTTGCCTTAGAAATTACTTTTTTCTCTTACGTTTACAATAGCAGCACTTAACTCCTCAGCTGCTTTTCAGGTGTCTGTGACTGGATTCTTCATCTTCAGTTCAGTTCTTTGTCAATATTTGTGTTGCCTGTGATCTGCTTTCCAATCCAAAAGCATTTCAAGTCTAAAGGTTTCAACTAGAGTATGTTTTAAAAAATGTTGTAGATGGATAATAGCTTTCAGCCATGTCTGTAGAAGACAGAAAAAGAACCTGTGTTTTTGACAAACCTTGTGAGACTCATTGCACTTGTTTGAGAAATATATAAGGTAATATCACTTTTATTTTCTCTTATAATCTGATAAGTCAAAATATATATAACTTTACAACATGAAACTCACATGCATTAATTTTTGTCTTTATGATATTTGAGGAATTAATTGAATGCATTGCATATGCTGCTGGCTCATGTGTAGCTCACTGCAACCAGGGCTCCCAGGGCCCTCTCAGCAGCGCTGGGGACAGCCTGGCTGTCCTGGGTGCAGCACGTCTGTTAAACTTTGTGTAAGTCTTGTTGACTCAATCTTCCGGCCTGCTTAGGTCTCTCTATATAATACATTAATAACTTCTGTTTCCTGAAGTGGTGGACTTTTAGAATACTCCTCATTTCAAGGAGGAACACATACCTGTTTTTTGTGAGGGAAGACGTTTGTACTGACTATAAGCAGCAGACCATTTGCTCAGAAAACAGGGTTACTGATCACTTTGGCACTTACTCTTTTGCGGATGAGTAAGCAAGTAGTGCAAGAAGCCATATAGTAAAAAGCTTAAGTACTGTCCTAGATAAGCTCAAACCTTTCAGAACTAATTGTATAAAAATGTGTATACAATCCTGTAATATAAAATTCTCTGTATATAGTATTTATTATTTGCCTAAGTTCAGAAATGCTTATATGTACGTATATAAAATCACTGTTTTTTCACCTCAATTCCTG